CCCCCCCCCACTTCTCCGGGCAGAGAGAGCCCCACCGGCCTCTGCAAACAGCAGGCCTCTGCAAATATTTGCAGAGCCTCTCGGGGCTGCCTGCAAGATTTTCCACAATGGGGAGGAAGCTGGCCCCCCAACCCCAGGCTCCCAGGACTCACTCCATGGGGATCCGGAACTGCACGGTGTCCTCGGGCTGCACTGTGCCCGGCCGCACCATCTGAATGAAGAAGTTGGTGCGGAAGACACGGAGCTGGGGGTTGCCCAGCTGGTACAGAGGATACCTGTGAGGGAGAGACGCGTGTCCACGGCGTGTCCAGAACACCCTCCAGCAGGCCCCATGGCCCCCTTCACTCACTCACACGGTTCTGCCCAGTGTGGATGGCCAGCTCCCCGGCCCCTGCACCAACTCGGGGCAGTGTGGGCTAGTGACCCCAACTTTAGAAGGGGCCAAATGAATGATTCCAGAAATAAACAGCAGCCACAGGCTGCAGAGAGCATGCCCCCATGCCCCTGAACAGGCTAGGGGTTTGTTTAAAGCCACAGCCCCGCAGGCATGAGGCCCCAGCATGGCCGTCCCGGTCCCCAGGAGTGGGCCCCACACAAGCAGGCCAGGCCGGCTGCTGGCACAAGTCGCCCACCATCTCCCTGTGCTCGGGGAAGGTGGGGTGGACACAATCAGCTCTCGGACACAGGCTGAGCTCCCCAAGGACAGGACTAATGCAGGACTCAGGGAGGTGGTGCCTGCAGTTCACCAACTTTGAGTTCAGGGCACCCCCTCAAGTCCCTCAGGGTGGGCAGAGGTAGCTGCAGCTTGGACCCACTGGCACCTCCAAGTGGCAGGCAGGGAGCCCAGGGGCAGGTCTTGGTGGAAGGTGGGTGCTGGGGGTCTCACCGAGGGTCTCACCCATACCCTATGTCCAATCTGCAGCCCCCAGCACTGGGAAGGGGCGCAATGTGGCTGAATTCCATGCTGGCTCTTGCCTCCCAAGCCTGGGGAGGGTTGGCAGGGCCAGGGGGTCAGAGGATCTGGGTGGGATATCCTGAAGCAGGGGCGGTGGGGGCTCACTCACTCCCCAGGGCAGGGCTAGAGCCTGGGCCCAGGCACCTGAGCTTAATGGTTGGGCACCATCTACCCAGGGTATAGGAGTGACCAAGTCAGCGGCCCTGCAGAACCCCCCTGTGGCAGGCTGTGTGCAGGGATGGGCACCGGCAAGGGGCTGGGAAGGAAGGCAGGTCTGCAGGGTCCAGGGCCTGCCTTGCTTTACCCTTGTGGGAGTTCAGGCCCACAGCTGGCCACCCAGAGGTCTCTTTTTCCTTCCTGGTGACCAACGGCAGCACTGCAGCAGGACAAAAGCTAGGGCCCAATGGTCACTGTGGGAGTGCGGGGACACTGGCTCAGACCCCCCAATCTCTCCAAGACCCCCACCCCTATTTGGGGCTTCAGGGAGCACCCTCAGCTGGGGATGGAGAGAGGCCCAGTGTGAGGGTCCACAGGTGAGAGACCCAGGCTGGCCGGGGTGGGTGTACTGCTCCCCCCATGCTGAGCACCAGGTCCCCCCCAAAGGCCCCTGCCTGAGGCCTGGGACACCCCTAGCTTGTGAACAACTGGTGCTGGTGACCACCCTCCTGCCGGGCCCTGGAACGCGGCTCCCCGGCCTTGCAGGAGGCCCAGCACCCCCGTGGGGCCCACCCCTGGCCTCGGGGTGGTTTCACCCACCCCTCTGCCTCCCTGACCGCTCCCCTCCCTCGGCGTTTCGCAAGCACCTCGACCTAACATCTCTCGGGCAGAGCTCTGCACTCCTCTCCTCCAAACAAGGCGCTGGCCGGCCGCCACCAGCCCTCCCGCCCCGCAGCCCGGGTGACTCATCCAGGATCCCACCCTCTCCCTCTCCCCACCGCGTGGCTCCGGGCGAGCCTCCCCTGCGGGGCCTCCCTGGCGGGCGAGCGAGCACGT